CAATGTGGTCTTTCTGTTTATCCTCTTTTTATCTAAATGTGGCTCATAGATTTTTAGATTTCTTAGGAGAAGTGGAAACGTCGGCAGCAGTTCTGGTCATTGCAAGGCTGCCCGGCTTATGTGAACAGAAATCCTGTTATCTGAAATCCAATTATGTACTCTTACATCTATTCCATACCAGTGAAAGCCAAACCTTATTAGTATTTGAAAGTTTGGGCTAAAACTGTTTTATACCAGTGACCCAGCTTAGAAGGATTCATAGATTTTTAGATTTCTTAGAAGGATTGTATTCTTACCAGTTAACCCCCAAGGATTATTAATGTCATTTGATTTGTTTTTCTGTTGTTTGATTTTCTGTATAATTGTAATATTTTTTCTTATGTACAGCGCCTTGAGTGCCTTGTTGCTGAAAAGCGCTATATAAATAAACTTGACTTGATAAAAATATTCAATAGCCAATGTGAGGAGCCACAGACCTGCTCCCCTGGACCTGAGGCAGACACGGAGGGGATCTAAGCCATAGACATCCAAAAGCCCCCCAGAGCACAGGAAACTGGGAGAACCACCGCCGGGATTACTGCAACCCCCCCAGAGAAGAGCAGGGGAGAGTCCCAGGGGAACCACCCAGCAGCCACAGTACAGAAGCCCCAGGGAGCTGCAGCGACTAGCCCACAGGCCCCGCTGGCAGCCGTCTACGCCCGAGCAGATCCAGCCATGGACCCAGAGACCCGAGACCCCGGGACATATCACTCCCCAAGCAGCCACCGGGAGTGAGCCAACACATACCAAAGCAACCAGCCCCGGACACCGAGAATCACAAGTACACCAGCGGGCAGAGACACCAGTCACCGGCAGGAGGAAATGGCCCCTCTAAACTAAACCAGGAGAGGGAGCAGCCCAAGACCTAACCTGACACATAAAACAGGCACACCCAGTCACAATCACAGATTCCCACCCTCAGGCGTACACATAAAAACACTCACACTCACGCACCCAACATTAAGACAACGTTGGGCTGCTTTTCACAACATTTAGAGGATTTGGAGTGGCAGATGGCCGCTCACGCTGAGCCTGGTTCTGCTGGAGTTTTCTACCTGTTAAAAGGGAGTTTTCCTCTCCATTGTCGCTACATGCATGCTCAGTATGAGGGATTGCTGCAAAGTCAATGCAAGCGACTGTCCACTATCTCTACATGCTCATCCAGGAGGAGTAAATGCTGCAAGTCACTGACTCGATGCAATCTGCTGGGTTTCCTTAGATAAAAAAACTTTTTAACCAGTTTGAATAATAAACTAAATCTGACTGCAATGTTTGATAGTTAGGATTAATTTGAATGTATGTGCTTGAAATCTGCATGATTCGATCGAACTGACTTTGTAAAGAGCCTTGAAGCGACATGTGTAGTAAATTGGTGCTAAATAAATAAAACTGAATCAAATCGAATTTAATTGAATTGGAGTTTTTAGAATTATTCATGGGAAAATTCTATCAAAATAGTTGTCATCTCAAAATCTCAAAATGTGTTTTTATACTCATATCAGTAGTTAATTTATTTTGAAAAAGAGAATCTGTTGAACATGACATCATCAGTAAGTGATGGTCATTGGTTAATCAACTGTCACTGTGAAATTATATTGGTCAATTGTAAACGCCTAAAATTCTGTTAAGAGTTCATCTAATATATACTGAGGTGCAGCCTTTACCTTATTAAGCTTGATACTGAGAGACAGCTTCATTCTGAAAGGGGAAAATACAAAAAATATCCAGAAAGCTAAAACCAGAATCATGCAGAACATGCACAGACGTTGCCAAATTCATTTATTAACTTTAGGTAGTTAATGTTAACACTGGGTCTATTATTATGCTAATAAAATCTAACAGACAGCTAAGTAACATTTCCCTATTTATTCATCATTTTGTGTATTATATTTAGCCTTCGACATAAATTAGCCTGTAATGTTAACTAACTAGCTATATGATTCCTCAACTGTTGGAGTAGAAACGCTTGCATGAAAAGAGCTCCTTGAGTAAAAGTGACTTTTACCTAAACAGAACAGAGTTTAGGCCAGCATTCTGAAATCATAAAATACTGTATGTTTGCTTCTATTATCAACACTTTATTGAGAGAGTTACTACACGTTCAGAAAAATGCCATGCTTTTTCTTTTATTCTTCAGACTTTAAAATGAAAATAATTAAGTTAAATTAGTGAAATGGTCTAATTTGTTTGGTTGTATCTCCCTGTCTTTCTTTTCCTTGAACCTGACAAACATCAGTCAACAGCTGGACAAGGAAATCACGGATTTTCTGAGTGCAAAACGTGTCATGCATGGATGCTGATTGGAAGAAAATGCAAGCGTTTTTCAGCAGGTGTTGCGCCCCAATTCCCCCCTCATAAGCCCTTTTTATAGAAACATCAGTACAGAAGCCACGTAATGTTTTCAGCAGCACTATACTGTTAAGCATACGCGGTTGTTGTGTAAAAACTGAGCTTTGCGCGGACATGTCCAGCGGACTGCCGCTTTGCATCCACACGGTGCCTGCGGAGACAAGTAGGCTACGCGAGACTATGTTCTGCCCTAAGTGTAGGAGGAGGAGGAGGAAGAGACAATTCGGGAGGTTGTGCTCTTGTGAATGAGAATTAATTTGAGAGGGCCAGGCATTTGCTTGAGGGGGCATTGCCCCCTCTTGCCCCTACGTAAAGCCGGCCTCAAAGTGTATTATCAGCACATTCACATGCAAACAGATACAATAATAATTAAAACTAGAAAAATTCAAATGCTAAACTCATGTTGAAACTGGCAGAAAGTGGCTAAGGCTGAAAGCAGAATGTCAGCTGAAATCTGATAAATTAATAGAAATAGCCGAAACAGCAAAGAAAAACTGTCATCTGATCTGTTTAAGCAGGAAGACTATCAGGTATAAAACACCGCAACAAGGTCAAGTTACCTTAAAACTACTTTAAATAGTTGTTGAAATACAAGAACTGACAAAAACATTACAAAAGCAGGAAAGAGCTGCCCATAGATGAGCTGAAAAAGCATAGACTGAAGCAAAAATATAGCCTAAGAAGTTAAAGTCAGTGCTAAAATATATAAAACATGGCAGAAAATTTTGACAAAGAATGAACTAACAACAAATACGCAGAAGAAACACAAAAACAAACAGGAAATTGCCTAAAAAGGCAAATGTGTTCTTCAGCTAAGACAGAAGACAGGAGAAAGAGAAGCTAAAATGCTAACATTAGCATATTGGCTATCAATAGCATGACGGCTGATATTCATTTACCCCATCTACTATGCAAAAAGCAATGTATAAGCTAAAATTAGCTAAAATGCTAAAGCTTACTACAGCCTATATTTAAAAGTTTATGAAATGCCCTTTAAAAATATTCACTCTTGTCCAGGTCTTGGAAGAGCAGTAGAAGCTGTTTGAGTAGCTGCCATCAAATGATCACTGTTTTGATGCTCCGCTGGGACCTATGAAGATGGTCTTATCATCATAAGTCACAGAGTAGTGGTTTCATTCTGGTTCTGATGAAGATTTGTACCAGGTTCTGATGGAGTTTGGACCTGGTTCTGATGGGTGTTTCTCCTTGGCTCTGAAAGACTTTGGACCTGGTTCTAATACAGGTTTGCACCTGGTTCTGATGGAGATGTGTTCCTGGTTCTGATGGAGGGTTGCTAACTGGTTCTGATGGAGTTTTGTTCTGGTTCTGATAGAGATGTTCTCCAGGTTCTCATGGATTTCTGAACTGGTTCTGATAGAGGTTTCCTTCTGGTTCTGACTGAGTTTGGCCTGGTTCTGATAGTGGGTGCCTAACTGGTCCTGATGGAGAATTCCTCCTGGTTCTGATGGAGTTTGGGTCTGGTTCTGATGGAGATAGGTTACCCCCTGCTGTTCGTTTTTGTATTTAAGCCCGTTTGTTTCCTTTGTTCCCCGCTGGTTCCTTATGTGAGTTTATGTGTGATCTCGTGTGTTTGCTACCCTGTC